AGTGAATGAGTGAATCACAGTAATTGTATATGACATCTGCACATGGTTTATTCAGACCAGTTGTGATTGTTATTTATTTATTGACTAGTTACTCAGGTGTCGTTTTGCAATACACACTTGCGCCTGTTATTCCACGTCAAGTAGCATATGCCGTCGTCCATCGGACATGGGACATTCAGTGTCTTACATATACTTGATAATGGTTGAAGTAATTCATAATATTTCAGCTCGCTACAATTTATGTTACTGTCTCACACATTCGTATTGAAGATTCTCACTTTGATATTAATTGACAGTTGTTTTAAGTTCGATATGTTTTTCGATGATGATGATTTCCTTCATTGCTTTGGTAATTCTCGAATTTACGTCTACATCACACCCTACACGTTCATCCAGTATGATGATGATAACGATGTGGAGGTAGGTGAGAGATTACACCTCACCAACAACCACTCCATGAAGTGTTATTCGGTTGATGTTCACTGTGAGGCGTTTCACGATATTGGTTTTACTCTATGTATGTTGAGGCCCAAAGATGAACAGGCAGATCGTACACTGCTTATACACTGTTTGTCTTCACCCGCATTGTTTCATGTGTATGTGTTAGAGTGGACAGGGCATCTGAGAATACACTATTGTCTAGTTGCATGCAATCTGTTTATTGTATCCCATGTTTCATTTCACATGTCAAGGTCTACATAATCCAGTCGACGACAAGAAGAAAGAGGAAGTGGGAGATTAGACATGCCTGTCTGACACCGGTCCTCACTTCCAATGCATCTGTCAGCTGTCCTCCATGCAGCACTCTGCACTGTAGTCTGTCCAATCAATTCACTATGATGTTGACGATTATATCAACTACCCACTACATGATGTGGAAGAAGATTGGTTCAATCACGTCCTCCTATCCACACTGTTAAATGCTTTCTCACAATCGAGAAAGTTGATGTGTAGTGACGAGTTCCATGCAATAATTGATTGTTGATCGATGATCCGTAGTGTCGTGATTTGGTTATTGGACGAGTGATCCTCACGGAATCCGTTGTGTTGATGTGTAAGTTGGGTGTCTACTTAATCTTTCATCCGGTTCAGCAACACTCTGTTGTGAAGCTTTCCTGGTACTGACAGTAGTGTGATACATGTGTAGTTCTCACATTATCTCGAATCCCCATTCTTTCATATCTTAACGTGGTGTCCTTATTCCGGTCTGTCAGTGATGCTTGTTCTTCCCCCCGAATCCTGCTGAATAGAAGGTGGAGCATCTTCGTAGTTACTTCTATATCTGACTTCAATGAATTTTGCAGGTATGTTGTCAGGTCCTACTGCTCTGTCACTGTCGGTTTATCTGATGCCCATGTTGATTTAATCGATCGTTGTTGCAGTGATATGTATAGTGATGTCTGTGTGTGCTGCCTAGATATTCTGTGGATTCAATAGAGCTGGTCTATTCAATGGTTGCTCGAATTATTCTATCCATGTGTTCATCTGTACTTCAATCTCAGTGATTGGCGTGCCTCATTTATCCTTGATCGGTCTCTCTAGTTTACCATATTTCACTACCAGTTTCATCGTTGTGTCATATGGTTGTTTCATATTTGTCTCTGTTGCAGATTGTTCCATTGTCGTCGCACAAATTGTCTGACACAAATTTCATCTTGTCGGCTCCAACGCTCCTCTCCATTGCATGTTTGCTTCAGTGTGTTCAGCTCGTATCTTGACTTTCTCTGCTCTTGTTACACTGTTGTTGATCGATGTCTTATTGTTCTTCCTTTCCTGAATCCCAAACAGGGTTTGCATCGAGATCTATTGGTTATGACGATGCTTCACACACCACAGAACCTCCTGACATGTTGAAATTAGTGCTTGTTTGATCTCTTTCGAATTGTGTTCCAGAGTAGTTTGTTCTTCCCTGAGAAGATCTCGTAAGTCTCCTGGAACCTGTTGTTCAGAGCTATTTTGAAGCGGTTGGGTTTGTCTGTATGTGGAAAGAAGGCTGTATTGAACCGTTGTAATGCTGTTTGTCCAGTTGTCTATTGTTAGTCTAGCTTCAGCTTTGTCTTGACAATCACCAGTTGGTGGTGATCTGAAGCTATGTCAGCTCCTCTCCCCGTTCTCACATCTTACTTCTATCGACTCTGTGAATATATTTTACTGATGCAAATATGATGTATCTGATTCTCCTTGTTGTGTTCCAATTAGATCCATGTAGCTTTGTGTATGTGTTTGTGTAGGAATATTGTGCCTCTAATAATCATGTTGTTGAACGCACATGAATTGGCAAATCTCTCGCGGTTCTCGTTGATTTCTACTACTCAGTCTATGTCGACTCTTCATATCTTCATAACCGATGTTGTCCATTTCGACTTTGGTGTCTAGATCTTCAATCAGGATGGGGAGGTCGTTTCGTGAGCACTTCGCTATGATCGATTGCAGCCTCTTGAAACCGATCTTTATCGTCTTCGTCATTGTTATCATTGGTGGGTTCACAACAACATTGGATAACATTCATGGTGATTCTCTTCTTCCTTCTTTTGGATGATGCTTTGATGATTGTGGATCCGTGAGATTTCCATCCTATAATTGCTTCCCGTGCTTCTCTGGACAGCATCGGAGCGACGCGTTGAGTGTGCTAATCATTTGCTTCTTCGTGATCGTAGTAGAGTAGCATCCCTCCGGTATTGAATCCTTGCTATTCAGATTGGGTCGAATGAGTTTCACTGATTGCTAGCACTGTCAAGTTGTATCGCCTCATTTCTCTTTTAATTTGACTGGTCCTCCTGGTCTCCCACATTGGCCACAGGTTCCATGTACATAACTAACTTGTTACTACGGCACATAGAATGGCGTCGGTCTCTTGAATTCCGAATATTCTCGACTTTCGTCATTAGGCATCACAATTCTTGCATCAACTACTAGTTCACAGTTGAAATGACATAATTTGCTCAATCTCATTACAGTTGATTTTAGCATGATTGTTTTCAACGAGATAGGGTTGCTGAGTATTAACTCAACACTTCTTTTTTTTTTATCGACACGAGACTGGCAGAACATTAGAAGTGATACGGACGGAGTTCCAGCATCACAACAATTAAAATAATAATATTACTGTTCCTGATGCTGCTGCTGACGATGATGATGATGAGTGAGTGAGTGAGTGAGTGAGTGAGTGAGTGAGTGAGTGAGTGAGTGAGTGAGTGAGTGAGTGATGATAGTGATGAATAATAATTGGGTTTGTGAAGAGTGATTTCTTTCTTATGGTAACATACTCTCGTGAATAGTTGAGCAACATTGTCATACAGCAAAATATGCCACGACAATACACAAGAATCGTGCACTTCCCGATTAGTAATTGGCACGTGTCATGACTACAAAGTGAAAGCGTCACAACAATGCATGATTGAAGTGGAGTGCAAGTTGGATTTTCCACAAAATGAATAATAAGAATAATAAGAATAACAATAATAACACACTGACTGACTGACTGACTTACACACATGCAAAATCACTCACTCACTCACTCACTCATTCACATGTACTCAACTCTCATGGAATATTGGTGCATATAAATAGGTGAATGTGTTGCAACATTGTAGTGGTTGATTGCAACGCTCACATACATAATCACATCGATGTCGAACCGATGGAGGTTTGTGGTGGTGGTGACGCTGTTCACCTACTGTCTAACATTCGAACGTGTGTCAACCTGGTTGATACGTAGTGGTGAACCTGTGCAACACCCCGCTGAATTCCCGTTCATCGCATTCTTAACGACAGAGAGAACAATGTGTACAGGCTCACTAGTCTCAACGAGAGCAGTACTCACAGCTGGTCATTGTGTTTGCTCACCATTGCCAGTGATTCGGGTAAGAGATCACACTGAAACACATTTTTGTCTAATGTAATTGACTGATTTCACAGAGAGAGAGAGAGAGAGAGAGAGAGAGAGAGAGGGAGGGATTGTTTGTGTGTGCGTGTGTGTTTGTGATTGTGTATGCAGTGGGTTTGCATAGATTTAATGTTGATATACTTTGTCTATTTCAGGTTTCATTTCTCACACTGAGGAATGGCGACCAACAAGGCATCCATCACCAACCGTCTGGAGTTATGGTGGCACCAGGATACATGCCCTCTTGTATGTCGGCACGACAGAGGAGACCAATCGCACTGAGACTCAGTGGATTCGACATTGCAATTGTAATGCTGGCTCAAATGGTCAACTTACAGAGTGGAATCACAGTGATCAGTCTGCCACATCCATCGGATATCCCACCACCTGGAACTGGTGTTTTCATTGTTGGTTATGGAAGGGATGATAATGACCATGATCCGTCACGTAAGAATGGTGGAATTTTGAAGAAAGGTGAGTTGGTGGTGAATAAACGACATGACTCAGTCAGTCAGTCAGTCAGTAGTCAGTCGGTCAGTCTGTCTGGCTATGTGATCCGGTTGTTGTGTTGGTCAGAGACTTAATAATAACAACTGTGTTCGGATGAAGCTGTGACAGTTGAGTAGCAGAGTGATTCCATCTCGGTTATTGTGGAGGTGAGGTGAGGTGAGTGGATGTGATTTGAAGTGATGTGAGGTGAGTCGATTTGGGAAGAGATGTGATGGGATGATTGAGACCAGTTGAAGGAGAGAATACTTATGAAATATCTGTGCAAACGATGCAAGTGTGTTGTTGTACATGAAGTAGGTGGTCAATCTGTTTGATGTAAATGTTGGGAGAGTGGTGAGATGGAGAGTGACGTGATTGTCGAATATGGTGCACATGTGAGAATGGACATGTTAGATATCATGTGGACTATTTGTTGTGTTGGTAATTGCAAGGTGGATAATTTGTGCTAGTTGATATTTTCGAAATTCACTTGTCTGTTTTTTCTCTTATGTTTTGTTCTTTTCTGATCTGTACTGTACTGTACTGTACTGTACTGTACTGTAGTTTGTTGTACTGTACTGTACTGTACTGTACTGTTGTGTTTTGTGTTGTTTGTTTACCACAGGTCGAGCGACTATCATGGAATGCCGACATGCGACCGATGGCAATCCTATTTGTGTGAAAGCAGGTCAGAATTTCGGACAGTTACCCGCTCCAGGTGACAGTGGTGGACCTCTCCTCCCATCCCCTCAAGGTCCAGTACTCGGTGTTGTATCACATGGTGTCACACTGCCAAACTTTCCCGATATCATTGTCGAGTATGCCAGTGTGGCTAGAATGTTGGATTTTGTACGCTCCAATATTTGAACAATATCAGCTCAGTGATTCATTCAATCAGTCAGTCAGTCAGTCAGTCTGTCTGTGATACATGTGTGTACATAATCTATCGACAAATCCACACGCAATTGTGTTAACACATTTCCGATAAATAAACCACCTAATCAATTACAACATTCCATCCGTTTTCTCTCTGAGTTGGGATGTGTGGTGTAATCTCGGTGTGTGTGTTTATAATGGTGAGTGAATTGTTAGTGAATTGGACAGTTATTAATTTGTTGTTGTTGTTGCTTCTGCTGCTGCTGCTGCTGCTGCTGCTCATCAAAAACATGATCAGGATGTGTGGATATTTGCGCATATATGAAAGTAGGAGAGAAGGGATGAATACGGTTGATGTGTGAGTGGTAGCAACGAAACACATTACAGAAATACACATCACAATTAAACAGTAGGCATATTTGTAGTGAGAATGGTAGGGTGAATAGATGTTATTCTATAATTCACTGTCATATACTATTCCACCTGAAATCCATTATAATTTAAACGTAACGTAGTCATCTATGTAGACGTGTGTCATTCTGCACTAATGTGAATCGGATTTGTGAGTTGTTAGTTGTAAATCGCTCTCTTTCGTTCTCACCCTCTCTCGCTCTTGCTTTCTATCTATCTCTCTCTCTCATCTGTCAAGCAATTATGTGTTGGAATAATTTTCGTCTCCCTAACTAAGGCAGTTAGTCTCACTATAAACACACACGTTTCTAGTATCAAGGCTAAACCAGTTAGCCTATCGTATCAAGGCTTTAATCTAGATCGAGACAATTTATCTTCTGACATGATTGTTTTCTCATGGGTTTTTGATTATCTTTGGAATATCAGATTTTACTTCCTTCCTTGGAACTTCATCAACTGCATACACTGACTGGAACTAATGAGACTGTTTTGTGTGGTTGTGTAAATATTTTCGAAACGATTCATAGAAATGCATTTAAGCGTCTAGTGTAATTGTTGAATATAATAAAATTGTTCTGTTTATTTGTCATTTCTGATATACCTCCACTGTGATCATGAAGCGTCATAGTGCTTTTAAATGAATTTCCTTAAACTTCTAGTTCAGAGTTGAAGTTGTTGAAATTGTTTATTCGGTTTGGCGTTTTTATATTAAGTTTGTTTCTCACGAGATGGATTTGCTGACTACTTTCCCAACCCTCCTCCTTCACAGGAGTTTTGAAGTGCAGTAAACCTGGAAGGTATACAGTGTTATGTGGATATAAATACGATTACATGAATGAGTCCGTACATATTGCCGGCCAAAAATGTATTAATTATCTGTCCTAGGCCGGAATGTCTATATCAGTGTTGTGTAAACTTACTTACTTACTTACGCCTGGTGTGTAGAATTACAACGATAACAAATATTCAAAATAACAATAATGGTGATTTAGGTCAACCGTAGTAATAGTAAGTTAAATATGCTATGAATATTGAAGTATTCAGCAAACGTGGAACCCATATTTTCATTGATCCATATAGTTTTGGGTTCATTTTTCAAATTTAACTAATTCGTGGAGTAGTCTAATCAACATCATGTATCGAATCATTGGAGGCCTACTTGAGTTAGACGGGGACGGTGTAACGAACAAGCTAACTTTGAAGTCACACCACGCGATCAGCACGTTACGTGGATTGCCCCATCAACGTATCAAGGGACCATGGATGCTCTGAAGACTGTACAACACAAAGGACGTTATAACAGGAATATATTAGTTAAAGTAGATACAAGCGAAAGTAGAACCACTGCCTTATGGCCCAGTCCATGGCGTATGATTAGCTGATGCACGTTGATTGTCCTTGATCTTGACGGGGATCGATGATCTGTTCGATATTTAGTGAACCAAGTGCCGGATGATTTGGTTACGGTTCAGTGACATTTCACTGGCCCTACAAAATCACTATTTCTAACTTCTTCAGAAAAGCTACAAACTAGGACAGAATAACTGATCATTGTTTTTCCACTTTGAACAACCCATTAATTAACCCCGAAGGAACACGTATTATCCTATAAACCACTGAAATCATTTGCGATTTAATCCTTATTGGTAACTTATTTGAGGGCAGGAACTTTGAATTTATGAAACGAAATTTAATACGTTGATTGCTTTATTAAAGCTTAGACATAAACACCATAGGATGTCGGCTCAGTGCTCTATCGGTAAGTGCTCTGGCGCGAGACTGTTAGGTCCTGAGTTCGAATCTCGTGAGGCGAGGTCGTGGATGCGCACTGCCACTATGGAATCCCACAATAGGACGAAACGGCCGTCCAATACTTCCAGGTTTTTAATGATGATCTAGCTTCAATTGACTCATGATTTCAACTATATAAAATATCACACTATTGATTATGGTCATGAGGATGTAAATAAGAAAGGGAAATTACATCAAAATTACTATAGAATGATAAGTGTAGAAAAAATCCAGTGAGATTGGAATAGATCTGAGTTAAAACAGTATTTGAGAAGAACTTGACGATCTAGTAAATCAACTTAAAATGAGCATTAATGTATTCCTTCAGTAACGGGAATATTCACGAAATCAAATAGTCATTACTATGTTTCCTTCTGAAGAATAGTTGGCATTTTATTGAGATTATTTAAGTCAAGCCTGAAACCGATAAGTCACTTAAAAGTGTGTTAGAGAGTAGGTTGATAGTGATTAACAATGGAACAGAGGACGTCGATTTCATTCTACTTTTCACTCGTCAGATGAATGCACTTTCATCTCATCGTTGTTCTTCACACTGGAACTCGAACTTCGTACATAACAACGTAATGGAAAGTGTTTCAATCAGAATGCTTCAATTTTATTCATTAGAACACCATTATTCAATTGGATTGAAGCTTAGTATGAGACTTTGAAATAGGTTAAAACGTGTGATACACCTTATCGGGTATTGTCAACCCTAAAGTATTGTATTCATGGAAGAGGAATTATCATTAGAAAACCCTTCTAAGATTTAGCCAGATATAACTATTCATCTAAGAAATCGTAAACTATCCAATAAATATACACTGAAGAATAGAATTTATGTAGTAACAGACAGTAGTTGATGTATGTTTACTTAGTAAGACTAGTAGATAGTTTGATAGGTATTAGATGAGTTATTTTATATTCTCTTATCCTTATTAGGATTGTGATTGTTGTCGGGTTTTGGTGTGGAAATATACTTACGTTCTAGTCAGGCTAGTCACGTGTTCTTGATCTGATTTGTGTTGAAGTCCCATATAATAGATACTGGGAGGGTATCTAGTGTAGATATTCATCTAAGATTTTGATTGAGATTATGAATCGACCACTACTGAAAAGCTGGAAGCATTGGACGACCATTTCGTCCTAGTATGGGACTCCTCAATAGTGCGCACACACAATCTCGAACTCAGCATTCCAGCCTACGACCTTAGCTCTAGACCACTGAGTCTGCATTCAACGGTGTTAATTAATCATTAAAAAATGTACTTGATTTCACTAAATGAAGAATGATTAGGTCTGCAATAAAGAGAGGTATGGTGTTTAATAAAACCACAGTCTGATGAATTAAATTTTGTATACGAGAGTCAAATAAATACCTGAATTAAAAGTTACTCATTCCTAGTGATCTAGTTACTAAGGTATTCAACTGATTTATTTCTAATTCTATGATCCTACTGATTACAGATCATCTCGATTTCAGTAGGCGTTTTGTGGAGATTTCAGTATTTTCATAGTTGAAATAATGAGTCGATTGAAGCTAGACTACTATGGAAAACCTGGAAACACTGGACTGCCGTTTCGTCTTATTGTGGGACTCCTCAGCAATGCTCATCCACGATCCCACCTCTCGAGAATCGAACCCATTCGAACCAGCGTTTCGTCTTATTTAGGACTCGTCAGCTGGATGTATCTGCATCTCAGACTTGTTGATGTTCACTCTGGGACTCGAATTCAGTATCTTTGTTTACAATGCCTGTGAATTAAATCTGTATCTAGGCAATACACACAGTATGCACATATGCCAATAAGAGACTAACCAGTTGCAGTCCCAAACATCAATGGGAAGATTCAAACAAACAGCACCAAATGAATTTAGAATAGAATAAAACAGTTCATGTTGATATGACTCATATGAAATGTTAACCTGAATCAGCTTATATGTTAAGTGTTCCATGATTAGAATATAAATATGGGTCAGATAGGGTAAGAGAAATATGATAGTGCAATTACAATTCGATCAAACGTTTATTGGATGACTATTATTAGTAAGACATAATAAGGTGGTATGAATGCAAAGTAAATGAAACATGTATATTTGGATAAATTAATAATGATGACAATGATTTGTGAATAAAGAGAGCAGTGACAATTACATTTTATGATCATAATGAGGTTTGTGGAGATTGTAGTAAATTTTCATAGTTGAATTCATGAGTTGATCTAAGTCAGACTAAGATTGTAAACCTGGAAGCACTGAACTGGTCATACTAGATGATACATCTTTCAGCTTCGGTGCCACCATTGGACTCGTAGAAAAGAATAGTCGTAGTTATCCGGCGTTGAAAGATTTTTGTATCGTTCTGCGTAATCTCTGAATTGTAGGTACATGAACAGGGATTTCTTATTCACGGTTTGTATTTCTCCTGTTCTCACCTTTGTAATCATATACTTAATTATAAACTTTCCAAAGTATCCGTTTTACCTAAGAGTATTACGCAAGGTGTTTTTTCTTCAACTATATCCATTGAACGTATAGTGCGCATTCGGTAACTAAGTGTTTTGATCAGGTTTCGTTTGTACTGTAGAGGTACAAAGCTAACGAAATGCGTATACTGCACAGTCCTGGTACTTTTTCCTTTTATATTCCTTTTTAATGATCCATCAGCTCTCTTAGTTAAGAGAACGTCCAAAATAGCTATTCTACCACCGCTCTCTTCTTTAGATGTAAATTCACTGGCTGCATGTACTTCATAAAACTGACTAAGAACCTCTTGAGGTGATGTATT